TCCTCTGTTTATATCCTCTTTTCATTAAGTACCTAGTTACTTATTTTCATTAATTTGTCGTTCACTTGTTAAGGCCTTGTGATTTTTATTTAGTAATCCTGACTAAATGACCATTTTTATTTTTTTTGCAGTGTCTCCTAGGGTGGGCTTTGCAACCACACAGATCAAGATTTGAATTCAGACTCTAGTCCTTATTGGGTTTATGGTCTTGTGTAAATTCCTCACCCTCTTATTGTTTCCTTATTTAATAATCGCTTCTCGATAGGGCCCTGAGAGTGAAATAAAATGAAAAAGGGAACACAGAGCTCAGTGTCCCACCCTGAAGGAGTGCTCAGTAATGGCATCTGATGGAGGCAATGGTGATGTTAATATTATAAACCCATGGAAAGGGGTGGATAGGAGAGAGCCTCTACTTGGTTTTCACCACTTTGTCACTGTTACCTTTACCTGAATGTACACTTGCCAAAAGTAAATTACATTTCCCTTGACTTCTTAATAATCACTGCCTTAGAAACAGTAAAGATGGATTCAGATACTTAGGGAGGTTTGCTTCTACTATCAACCAGGTGATTCATATTGCCGAGTAGAGACAAGACAACATCCTACATGAGAGACTGGCAAAAGCACAAGAGATCTTGGAGCACATGCAATTAGCCGACACTGTTTACTGGGGCTTGGAAACCAATCTAAAAGAATTTATGCTTTAAATCAATGGCAGTTGTCAATGAGCCTGTGAGGAAATCCTTGCTAGGCTCCTCTAGCTTTTATTGCAATTCATATTGATAATATCAAAAAGAAAAGCCTCCCAAGCAAAAGGTCAATCTAATCCAATCACTTAATGCAGAATTATGGTATCAAGTTTCCACATTACTGAATGAATGATCACGTGTTTAAAAAGGTGTGTGCCACAAAATAGCTGTTGGTGTTAGACATTTAACAAGTTGTTTTATTCTTAATTGTTGGCATTTGCTTAACTGTTTTCTTAATTCTAATTTATGTTTTTATGTTCCAGTTTGTTTACATAGCCCATAGTTCCCAATTGTCTTTATTTGCTTAAGTGTTTCTTTAATTTTATTTACATTTTTATATATGTTGCTTTGCTTACATAACTCATTGTTTGGAGTGGGCTAGAAACAACCATAAATCCACATCGCTAATTAACCTCATCCTCATGACTGATTAGTCAAGATTATGAGCCTAGAAGGAAGGCAAGGAGGAGGCCTGATTGTGAGTCACAGGATCATTAAATTTTAGAACTAGAATTTAGGTTTTAAGGCATTTTCCAGATAGAATTCCATGGTTTTACATCTTCAATGTTGGAGAATTATGAAAGATTGGCTGCTTGCTCTTAGTCCTTTATGCAAAAAAGTGTATAAGGATTCGGTGACAGCTTTGAAAAACAAGAACAGAGGAAGTCCAATCACTGATGACTATGAGTAACCCGTAATGGGGGCTTGAAATGAAACTTGACACATAAATGGACCATAGAAGAGCTGGGAATACTAATGAACACGGGGTCGGGGGCCTTCTTCTTTGGAGGTAAGAAAGCAGAGTAGATTGTTTGGAACTCCTTCTCCAGAAGCTGTGCAGGTTGTAAGGATTTTAGCTTGCCTAACTGTAAGGTTCGCTATTAGCTTTGCAGTGGGGAGTATTTAAAAGTACACAAACATACGAAGGAAAGAACCTGGAACAGAGTAGCCAGCTTCATTCCAAGAATCCATCTGGCACGTAAAGAACTGCTTGTCCTACATTAAGCCCTGCAGAGTAAGAGCCATTTTTCATACTTCACCCCCCTATTTTTGGTTTCAGGTAAGGCAGCTTACTGAGTTTGGGGAAGAAACAAGAAGAGTTTTCAGAACCGTCTAACCAGGGGACCCACTTAGGGTGAGCTCTATGAATCTCACCAAAAGTAGACGGGGGAAACATGGTGAAGCCTCCATTCAGAAAATCAGGTTAAGAGAAAGCTCAAGTGTCCACAAGAGGTGGAAGTCCAGATTCCCAAATAATGCGAGCTTTTAGTCGTTTGTAAACAGAATGTAATGGAACAAGAGGTGTTATACATACGAAAAGTGGTGGCTGGAATCACCAACATTAAATGATATGGTGGGTTGATAAGTGAAATCCAGTCTACCCCTAAATAAACAGATTTTTGCATCTTTGGTGTATCTGGAGGTAGCTAAAAGCAACACTGCCAAAGGACTAGTACCTAGATGGCCAGGAATTGCAAAATGCATAAAGGTGTTGCAAGGCTTAAATTAGTCCTGGATGTCAGGTCCCTTACCTCCTTACTTCTGTCGGTCCCATTTTCATATGCTCCCCTTTTAAGGGAAAGTGTAGTCAAATCCGCTCAATGTAGACTTCAAACATGCGGGACAGTGGCTGTACCCTTACCTGGTCACCTCTTGAGGGACAGCCCAAGGCCAGAGCGCTGGCGCCAACTCCTAGCAGCGCCCTTTCGGTTACCATGGTGATCACAGGAGGGGCGGGGCCTCCAACCCTTGCTTACCCGCCTGTGTCCAGGATATTTCGAACGCTCCAATTGGGACAGCCCTTTCGTGCCTCTGTCCCGCCCCATTCGGCTCCGAGAGCGATGCGATTGGCCCGGGACAGGCGACCTGGCTCCCTGAGGGTACCACCTCCTGACGGGAAGAGCGGGAAAATGTACCAGGCGTTGTCCGAGGCGTGAAGCTCGCCGCGCTTCGGGGAAGCACATGGTTGGCTTCGGAGCGAGTTGCCTGGTGTCCCATACACAACTCATCGCACCCATGGCTGTTAACACTAGGTAGCAGGAGCCGGGGCCAAGTCACGTTTGTGGTTCCAGGGGGCCCACTCAGGGGTGCGAGGATGCGAGCAGGAGTCAAGATCCGGTGGCGCGCACCCGGGTGCTGGGGGATCAGAGGCCAGGAGGGGCGGGCCGAACCCCGGGGGCGGAGCCAGCGGCAGCGGCGGGAGGCGCAGGGCCCAATTGAGCGCGCGCACCGCCCCCAGGGGCGGGGCGTGCACAGCGGTCCCCGCCCTCCCGCGCGCCCCCGCCCCTCCCCCCGAGCGCCGGGCCGCAGTGAGTGAGTGGCACTGGCAGCCTGTCAATCCCTCAGCCCGGCGGCCTTCGAGCCCGGTCC